TAAACGACGTCGTGCAGCGCGAAGGCCCCGGGGGGGGGGCCCAGGGGGGCCCCCAGGGCGGGGGGCCCCCCTGCCGCCGCACCCAGCGGAACACGTTCACCCGCGAGCCGTGAGACCCGCAGTCAATCACCACCCCGTAGTCCACCGCCGGGGGGGCCCCCAGGAGGGGCCCCAGGGGGGCCCCCACCGAACCCCACGCAGCCAACACCGCCCACCCCGACAGCAGCAGCAGCAGCAGCAGCAGCAGCAGCAACCAGCCCCAGCCCCGCTCCAGCCACAACGGCAAGGGGCCCCGCCCGGGGGCCCCCGCGACGCGCCCCGGGGGGGCCCCCTCGAACGCGCAAACCCAGCTGCTGCCTTCCGCCGCGCGGGGGCCCCGGGGGGCCCCCCCCCACGGCCACCACCCACGGAGGCCCCACCGGGGGGCCCCCAAACACCACCACTGACCCCACCAGGGGGACCCCGAGGGGGGCCCCGAGGGGGGCCCCCCGGGGGGCCCCTCAGGCTGCGGGGGAGAGTCCGGGGCCGCCACGTAGCTGCGAGCGGCCTCCGCAGAAGCAGACCGCCGCCAAGACCATGAGGGGGCCCCCCGACGGGGGCCCCTGGAGAAGACCCGCGGGGCCATGGAGGTGGGGGCCCCTCGGGGACGCGGGGGCCCCTCACGGCTGCATGCAGGGAAGACGCGGGACGGCACCAGTGCGTCGGAACGCCCCCCTCATCCTGGCCGTCGGGAACGCCGATCGGGGCCCCCAGGGGCCCAAACGCCGGCCAAAGCCGAACAAATATGAAAAATAAGGGGCTTTGGAGTTTTTAATTCGCTCAAAGGGCCAAAAAAGCGCGAAAAATGGACAAGTCCGCGCGGTTCTGCATGCTGGCAAGGGCAGCGCCCGCGAGCTGGCAAGCAGGGGGGAACTTCTGGCCGTCGAAAAACGGAAACTTCGCGTTATTCCGCAGCGATCTTTAATTAAACACAATTCAGAAAGCTGCAGCAGCGCGGGAGCCGCAGATTCCCCCGTGCTGCCGCTGCGCCAAGTCCCACGCGTGAGCACAACGAGCGGCACAGCGGTGTCTCACGGCCGCCCTCGCTGCTTCTCTTTCGCAATCCTCGCCGCCGCTTCGCGAAAATAACGCAAAAAAAAGCTGAAATAAATCATTTGAGAGCCAGTGCTGGCGGCGGAAGGCGTGATCGGCGCGGACTTGAACGCAGCGAGCGCGTACACTCCGCGGCAACTTGAACGCCGCGGCCTCCAGCCTCGAGATCCGCTCCTGTCCGCCTTCTTTTCGCGCTTTTCTTTCTCGAATTGGAAACAATGCAAGTAATATATTTTCGCGCGTTCGCGTTGGCGGGGGTTCTGCTGCTTCCCGCCGCGGATTCCCGCGGCGGTTCTGCCGAGTCTCGACTGCAGCAGCTGCAGCAGCTGCAGCAGCAGCGCGCAGGTCGGTGTTCCCCGGGCTTTCGCAGCGATCCAAAGGCCGAAATAATCCCAAATGGAGTTTAACAGATCCTGCAAAAACGAGAAGGCTCCGAAAAAGAGGGGCGGCGGCGCTGCGAATGGAACAAAGTACGCTGGCCGTTCAGGTTTCGTGCAACTCGAGCTTTCAGTGCGTTTCCGCCAGCCGACGAAGACGTGAGGAAGCAACAAATTCAATAATGCAAAATTGAAAACGAATTCTTCTTCGTTTTCCGCAGTCTTCCTCTGCAGCAGAAGAACTGCCCCAGGTGACGCAGCTCGAAACCTGAACTTGAATTTCTTGTGTGCAGGCTCGGGGCATCCGGGGGGGGTTTGTGTCTTTTTTTCGCCCTTTTTTGCTTTTTTTTATTTATTAGAAGTAATTAATTCATTTTTTGTTCTTATTTTCGAATTTGTTTGTTCGCACGCAGGACTTTCCCGAGATGAAGGAAGCGGTGGAGAAGCTGTACAGCCGCGCCGAGGGTCTGCGTCTGGTGTCTGGGCGGCCTGAAATTGCAAATCTGAGTAAATAAAGACTTTCATTTTTATTTTGTTTTTATTTTCTTCAACTCCAAAGCCCAGGCGACCTCGAAGCCTCCCTTTCGAGGCTGGAGGCGCTGCTGCGGTGAGAAGTTTCCTTCAAGTTTCTGCTGCTTTCCGCAAACTCGAGGGGCGCAGAGGGCCGCCAGCTGCTGCTGCTGCCGCTGCAGAGCAGCAGCAGCAGCAAGAGGCTGCTGCTGCCGCAGAGGCAGAGCAGCAGCAGCCGCAAGAGGCTGCTGCGGCCACCGCTGCAGAGCAGCAGCAGGAGCAAGAGGCTGCTGCTGCTGAAGAAGGCCCCTGAGCTGCAGCAGCAGCAAAGCAGCAGCAAAGCAGCAGCAAAGCAGCAGCAAAGCAGCAGCAAGTCCGTCCCCAGCCAAAGTGTCGAACTTGAAATGAACTGCAGTCAGCAGCAGCGCCAAAAAGCCCTGCATGCAGCTGCATGCAAAAAGACAAATAAACCCTGAGGGTTTCCCAGGGGGTTTTCTAAAAGTCCAGAGGGGCCTTCGGGCCGCAGCTGCTGCCCGCTGCAGCTGGACCATTCAAATGGCTTTTTTGCCTGCTGCAGCTGCAGCAGCAGCTGCAGCAGCAGCAGCAGCAGCAGTAGGCCCCTCTGGCCCCGGGCTCTTTCTAGCCCGCCAGGAGGCACAAAGGAGCTCTACGGGGCCCCCCCAGGGTCCCTAAAAGGGCTTCCTGGGGCCCCCTGGGGCCCCCTGGGGCCCCCTGGGGCCCCCTGGGGCCCCCTGGGGCCCCCTGGGGCCCCCTGGGCCCTCTGGGGGCCCCCAGAGCTCTCCCTCAAGGCCGCTGGCCGCGGCCTCTGGCCCCTGGCCCACCCAGAGGCCCTCTAGGGGCCCCCGAGGCCCAGGGGCCCCACCCCGGGGGCCCCCCCTGAGGGGCCCCCCTGTGGGTCCCGGGGGCCCCTGAGGGCGCGGGGGCCCCCGGGGGGCCCCGGGCTCAGTGGGGCCCCTCGCTCGCGGGCCTTTTGGGGCTCGAGAAGTCCGGGAGGGCCCCCGGGGCCTTTGCTGCGAAGGCCCTTTTCAAACAAGTCCGAACTTCGCGGCCAATTTCCCCACAAGCAGCTTCGCAGAGACTGAACAGCTGCGCGCATGCACCAGGTGTACGTACACCCCACGCACTGCAGCAGCAGCAGCAGCAGCAGCAGCGGCAGCAGCAGCGGGACCAACGGAGAAGCAGCAAGGCCCCCAAGGGGCCCCAGGGCGCCCCAACGCGCCCCCAGGGGCCCCCAGGGGCCCCCAGGGGCCCCCAGGGGCCCCCAGGGGCCCCCAGGGGTTCCCAGGGGCCCCCAGGGGCCCCCAGGGGGCCCCAGGGGGCCCCAGGGGCCCCCAGGGGGCCCCTGGTGTTGCGTAGTACCTGTTCTCCGGAGGGCCCGGCGATGAGGGGGCCCCTGCAGTGAAGACAACAAATGGAGTTGAGGGCGGGACAGAAGCCCACGTGAATGGCGGTGAAGTCCGCGAAGTGTCTGTACACCGCGTACTCCTGCAGCCCCACACGCCCCACGCGCTCTGCTGCTGCAGCAGCAGCAGCGGCAGCAGCAGCAGCAGCGGCAGCAGCAGCAGCAGCGGCGGCGGCAGCAGCGGCAGCAGCGGTGCTTACAGAGGCGTCGAGGTCCAGGCACACGGCCTGGTGAGGAGTCCCGCTGCTGTCTTTGTAGGTGAAGGCGAACTGCAGCAGCAGCAGCAGCAGCAGCAGCAGCAGCAGCAGCAGCAAAGCAGCTGCTTCTCGAGCTCCACAACACGCGGAGAAGGCGCATGCTTAAGAGCCCTCTGCATGCATGCATGTTGCGTCGGCCTTGGCGGCCGGCTGAGTTGCTGGCAGCAGCAGCAGCAGCAGCAGAAGCAGCAGCAGCAGCAGAAGCAGCAGCAGCAGCAGCAGCCGCACCGCAGAAGCCCCCGTGATGATGTCGTGACACTCCACGCCCGCGTCTGCCAGGGCCAATCCCGCGCAAGTCAGCGCAGCAGCCAGCGCCCCTGCGGTGTACGTACACCCCACAGCTGCTGCAGCTTCTCTGCGGTCTACGTACACCCCACAGCTGCTGCAGCCTCTCTGCGGTGTACGTACACCCCACAGCTGCTGCAGCACCCCACAGCTGCTGCAGCTTCTCTGCGGTGTACGTACACCCCACAGCTGCTGCAGCACCCCACAACTGCTGCAGCATTATTTGCGGTGTACGTACACCCCACAGCTGCTGCAGCATTTTCTGGGGTGTATGTACACCTCACAGCTGCTGCGTCAGTTTGGACTTCCTTTTTTTCGCGAAGCGAAAAAGAAAATAAAAAACGAACTTCGAAAACGCCAAATAAACAAATAAACAATCAATAAAACAACAAACAAATTAATTAATTAATTAATTAATTATTGATCTATTTATTTATTTATTTATTTATTTATTTATTTATTTATTTATTTATTTATTTAAATAGTTGTTTTGCTTCTCCGAGAAGCAAAGAGCAAACAAAGCCCAAACGGAGTTCAAACAAACGCCAAAAAGCAAATAAAGAGTCCAACAAAAGGCAGCAAATCATTTATTATTTATTATTTATTTATTATTTATTTATTTATTTATTATTTATTTATTTATTTATTATTTATTTATTTATTATTTATTTATTTATTTATTTATTTATTTATTATTTTTCACCTCCGTCTTCTTCGAGAAACATAAAAGAAACCTCCAAGACGCTCTTGGGGTAGCGCTCGAGCAGCACGCAGCTGTCGAGGGCCTGGTGCAGCAGCAGCAGAAGCTGCTCCTGCGTTTCGCCCTGCAGCAGCAGCAGCAAAACCCTTTTTTATTCGCTCTTTTAGGGTTTAACCCTCTTTTTATTCGCTCTTTTAGGGTTTAGCAGCTTCTACTCTTCCCCCGCTGTTTGCCTGTTCTTTGCTGCCTTTTTGCTTTTCTTTTTCCGCCCTTTTTGGCCGGCTGCAGCGACCCAAACCCTAAACCCTAAACCCTCGCTGCTCCTTCCGGAAACCCTAAACCCTAAACCCTCGCTGCTCCTTCCGGAAACCCTAAACCCTCGCTGCTGGAAACCCTAAACCCTCGCTGCTCGGCACTTCGGAAACCCTAAACCCTCGCTGCTCGGCACTTCGGAAACCCTAAACCCTCGCTGCTCGCTCCGGAAACCCTAAACCCTCGCTGCTCCCTCCCAACTCCCTAAACCCTAAACCCTAAACCCTCGCTGCTGCAAACCCTAAACCCTCACCGCGTCCGCGCTGCTGCGCTGGAAGAAGGGGGAACTTCTGAAGTCCACTTTTATAAACCCTCGGTCTTGCAAGTCGCTGCGGCCGGCAGACCGCGGCCCGAAGCTGCGTAAACCCCCAACGCTTATTCCCCCATTTAGGGTTTAGGGTTTAGGGTTTAGGGCGGGGGTCTAGGGTTTGGGGTTTAGGGTTTAGGGTGGGGGTCTAGGGGTTGGAGTTTGGGGCTAGGGCCTAGGGTTTCGGGTTGAGGCTTAGCGTTAGGGTTAAGGGTTTAGGGTTTGGGGTTTAGGGTTTAGGGTTAGGGTTTAGGGTTTAGGGTTTGGGGGCTCACATGGCGCAGTAGACTTTGGTGTTTCCCACGGAGACAAACGCAGAGCCAGAGGCGCTGCCGAGGGAAAGGGTTTGGAGGTCTGCAGCAGCACTTTCAGAAGCAGCAGCAGATGTTCAAGGCAGCAGCAGCAGCAGCAGCAGCAGCAGCAGCAGCAGCTGCTGCTGCTGCTGCTGCTGCTGCTGCTGCTGCTGCTGCTGCTGCTAAGGAGCTGCAGGGCCGCGCAGGGCTGCTGCGCGACTAGAGGGTGCTCGTGGTTCGAGCCTAGGGTTTAGGGTTACTGAGGGTTTAGGGTTTTTTAACCCTAAACCCTAGGGTTTAGGGATATTGAGAGCTAGGGTTTAGGGTTACTTGGCCTAGGGTTTAGAGGCACTCAGGCCTAGGGTTTAGGGCTTAGGGTTTAGGGTTTAGGGTTTGTGGCTGCCTACGCATGGGCCGGACTTCTTCAGGAAGCCTCCCGTCCCTCCTCCTGCCATTCACAAAGGGGCTGCTGCTGCTGCTGCTGCTGCTGCTGCTGCTGCTGCTGCTGCGGGGGGGCAGCAGCGAGAGTGTGCCTGTGAAGGCTGCGGGGCCTGGGGGCCCCGCGGCCTCGAGGCCCCAGCCAAGCATAGCCCTCGTGGGCCCCGAAGAGCAGCAGCAGCAGCAGCAAAAGCAGCAGCAGCGCAGCAGCAAAGCAGCAGCAAGCAGCAGCAAGCAGCAGCAAGCAGCAGCAAAGAGAAAAGAAGCAAAAAAGACCTTTTTGGAATTAACTGGAGGCAAACTGCGGAGAAGGGAAGTGAGCAGGCTGCGCGGAGCTGCGCATACACCCCAACTCCCGCCTCTCGCCCGCGAACTCCGCGAAAACTGCAATTAAATGAAAAATGAATTAAATTGAATTAATTAAAAAGAAAAAAGGAAAACAAATTGAGGCAAAGGGCTCAAAAGGAGAAGAAAAGGCCGCAAACGCAGCTGCAGCCGCGGGGGCCCCCAGCCATTGTGAGCGCCTCGCCGTGGGGCCGCGGGGGGCGCCGCCGCGCTGCCTAGGGGCCCCTCTGTGCCGTTTTTGGGATTTTCGCGGACAACTTCGAATAATAAAAAGAAATAAAAGGGTTTTGGGGCTTTATTTGGCGTTTAAAGGGCTCCAGGCGGCGGCGCGGAGGCTGGGGGCCCCACCCGCGGCGCAGGGTGGTGCAGCGGGGGCCCCCACCGCCGACTGGGGGCCCCCAGTTTCCGCAGACCCAAACTGGACTTATTTGCTGCTGCTGCTGTCTTTGAAATGGCTGCAGCTTTCCGAACTTCAGGGGCCCCCTGCTGCTGCTTTTCGCGCCTTTTCGTGCTGCAGCAAGACCCCCAACTTGCCCCCTAACCCCTTTTTGCTGCTGCCCCAGGGGCCCCCCGCCCGGCCCCTGCCGCCCCACTTGTGGGGTCTTTGGGGGCCCCTCTCGCCGCCGGGGAGGCCCCGCTGCCCTCGGGGGCCCCCCTGACCACGCCCAGCCACCCCAGCAGCAGCAGCAGCAGCAGCAGCAGCAGCAGCAGCAGCAGCAGAATGGGGGACCCGTCTTTGCTGTCGCCGCTGACGAGGTCTTGTCTGCGCGAGGGGGCCCCCAGGGCCCTGTGGGGCCCCTCATCGTTCGAAGGGTCTTCGACCCTCCCGGGGGGCCCCCCCCCGTCAACTTCGCTCTCTCTCTGCGTCTGGGGGCCCCCCGGGGGGCCCCCCCCCAGTACCCTGGGGGCCCCCCCCTCTGGGGCCAGCAGCAGCTCCCCGGGCCCCTCCCTCAGCTGCTGCGGGGCCTCCCCGTCTCAGTCGCAGCAGCAGCAGCCTTTGCTGCCCCTTCCTGCTGCTGCTCATTCTCTTGACCACCTGGGGGCCCCCGGGGGCCCCCCGGGGGCCCCCGAGGGGGCCCCGGGGGCCCCCGAGGGGGCCCTCTGCGGGGCCCCCGGGCCCTCTTTGCCTGCTGCTGCGCTGGGGGCCGCCGCGGGGGCCCTGTGCCCGTGGGGGCCCCCCGGGCCAGGGGCCCCCGGGGGGCCCCCAGGGGCCCCTGGGGCCCCCGGCGTGCTGGCTTTGCCCTTGGCGGGGCCCCCCGGGGGGCCCCCCGGGGGCCCCCCGGGGGCCCCCGGGGGCCCCGAGGCGCTGCGTCCGAGGGCCCCCCGGCTGCAGGAAGTGGCCCGCGGGGTCTTTTTGGCCAACAGGGTACTAATTGAGTACCCTGGGGAGCAGCAGCTCCCCACAGAAGTTCGCCTGGCCCTCAAACACCCCCACGGCTACCAGCTCAGGCGCATGCACCCCCCGAGGCCCCCAGAGGGGGCCCCCCACAGGGGCCCCCAGGGGCCCCCGGGGGCCCCCGGGGCCCCCGGGGCCCCCGGGGCCCCCGGGGCCCCGGGGGCCCCTGGGGACCCCCAGAAGGGGCCCCACGGCCGCCGCGCGCAGCTGCAGCAGCAGCTTTGCCGCGGCGACGGGGGCCCCAAAAGGCCCAAAAGGCCGGGGCCCTGCAGCAGCAGCAGCAGCAGCAGCAGCAGCAGCAGCAGCAGCAGCAGCAGCCCCTGTCTCGTCAGCAGCCAACAAGCCCCAAACTGCCTCCAAATTCTCCCGGCCGAGGCCCCACAAACCGCCCTGACCCCCGAGTGGGGCCCCCTCGACGAGCTGGGGGCCCCCGGGGGCCCCCCGGGGGCCCCCGGGGGCCCCGGGGGCCCCGGGGGGCCCCCCTGCGTGTGCAGCGAGTGCGGGCGCTGCCGCGCTTTTGCGGAGGCGAAGAAGCTTTTGAGGCCCTTCGGAGTTCATCTTCACTTTGGGGCTTTTCAGGAGCTGCAGCAGCAAAAAGGGGGGCCCCCTGGCAGCTTCGGGGGCCCCGGGGGGCCCCCCACTGCAGCAGCGGGGGGCCCCCCGGAGGGGGGCCCCCTCGCGCTGGCGCTGGCCTGCCTCCCGGGCCCCCAGGAGGGGCCCCCAGGCCCGGGGGGCCCCCCAGGGGGGCCCCCAGGGGCCCCCGAGCCTGGGGACTGCATTTGTGCTGCAGCAGCGTCGCAGCAGGGGGGCCCCCCAGCAGCAGGGGGGGCCCCCGGGGGGCCCCCCTGTCAGCTGCGAGGGTACTTGGTGGTGGACCAAATGCCAGCAAAGGAGTTGGCAGCTTTGGAAGCTGCAGCAGCAATTAAAAGGGCCCTCAGTTACTTCCTGCTGGAAGCGCCGCCCCCTGCTGCTGCAACAGCAGCAGCAGCAGCAGCAGCAGCAGCAGCAGCAAGGGGCGCCCGCGCCTCCTCGCGGGCGGACGGCGAGGGGGCCCTCCCGCAGCACGCCAAGGGCCCCGTTGCTGCAGTGAAGCTGCTGCCGCAGCAGCAGCAGCAGCAGCAGCAGCAGCAGGGCTTTGAAGGCGCTGCGGCGGCCGCGAGCAGCAGCGGCGGCGACTGCTTCAAGCGCGCCCCCGCCCCCAGCAGCAGCAGCAGCAGCAGCAGCAGCAGCAGCAGCAGCAGCAGCAGCAGCAGCAGCAGCAGCAGCAGAGCAGCAGCAGCAGCAGCAGCAGCAGCAGCAGCAGCAGCAGCAGCAGCAGCAGCAGCAGCAGCAGCAGCAGCAGCGGGCTGCTGGCGGGGCTGCTGGACGCAGTGGTGCAGCTGCACGACGTGGACTGCAGCAGCAGCCAAGCAGCAGTCTGCAGCAACCACTTCAGCGGCTTCCTCAGCCACCACAGAGCAGTCATTACCAAAGCTTCTCCCGCCTTTCTGTGGGCCTGCTGCTGCTGCTGCTGCTGCTGCTGCTGCTGCTGCTGCTGCTGCTGCTGCTGCTGCTGCTGCTGCTGCTGACTGAGACGGCGTGGGTTGTGCGGCTGTCGGCCGCGGGCGGCTTGCTGCTGCGTCGGGGGCCAACCAGGTGGTGCTGCTGCTTGTGCTGCGCTGCTGCTGCTGCTGCTGCTGCTGCTGCTGCTGCTGCTGCTGCTGCTAGGTCGTTTTTGCTGGAGCACGAGGAGGCGCTGGAAGCAGAGTTCCCCCGCGGGTTTGCTGCAGCAAAGCAGCAGCAGCAAGAAGCCAAACGCAAGAGGGCCCTCAACCCCTCGGGGGCCCCCGAGGGGCCCCGGGAGTTGGAGGCCCCTGCAGCAGCAGAAGAGCAGCAAGTGTTGAATGGGGCCCTTCGATTGGGGCCCTCCTTCACTCTCCACGGATTCATCTTCGAGGGTCTGCTGCCTAGGGTTTAGGGTTTAGGGTTTAGGGTTTAGGGTTTGGGTTTGGGTTTGGGGTCGCCAGCCTCTGGGGCTCAGGGTTTAGGGTTTAGGGTTTAGGGTTTGGGGTTTAGTTTGGGCCCTTCTTTTTCGCTGGACGGATTCGCCTTCGAGGGGCCGGCGCCCAGCTGCCTAGGGTTTAGGGTTTAGGGTTTGGGGTTTGGGGTTTGGGGTGTGCCAGCCTCTAGTTCCTGGGGTCCAGCGTTTAGGGTTTAGGGTTTAGGGTTTAGGGTTTAGGGTTTAGGGTTTGGGGTTTCTCAGGGCCCAGACAGGCTCGCGCGCTGCTGAAGCTGCTCAAAGCTTTTGTAAACCGCCACGAGCTGCTGCAGACGGGGGCCCCCGGGGGGCCCCCCGGGGGGCCCCCTGGGGGCCCCTGCACGTACAGCTCGTTTGTTGCTGCTGCTGCTGCTCACCACTCCTTCGAAGCCAAGTCCCTCAGCCTCGCCAGCAGAAAGGCCCTGGGGGCCCCTCTGCAGGTGGGGCCTCCTTGCTGCTGCTGCTGCTGCTGCTGCTGCTGCTGCTGCTGCTGCTGCTGGTGCGCGCTGCGCGGCGCGCCAACTCCACCTGCTGCTGCTGCTGCTGCTGCTGGTGCGCGCTGCGCAGCGCGCCAACTCCACCTGCTGCTGCTGCTGCTGCTGCTGCTGCTGCTGCTGCTGCTGCTGCTGCTGCTGCTAGGTGTTTCTGGTTGTGTCGAACTTTCGAGTGCGGGGGGCCCGCGTGACGGACTGCCGCGTTTCCTTCTCGGACACTCTCATAGCGCTGGAGGGCGGCGCGGCGAAGGTCAGGGTTTAGGGTTTAGGGTTTAGGGTTTAGGGTTTAGGGTTTAGGGTTTAGGGTTTGGGGTTGGGGTTTGGGGTTCGTTGGTGCGGCGGCGCGGCGCGGCGTGTGGCTGGCCGGCGCGCGGCTGGGGGCGGGTTTAGGGTTTAGGGTTTAGGGTTTAGGGTTTAGGGTTTGGGGTTTGGGCCTGCAGAGCGTGAAGCGGCTGCGGATAAAGGGGCTGCTGCTGCCGCAGAGCCAGCGGCTGCTGCTCTCAGCTGTACGTACACTGCAGCAGGCCCGCTGCCTCTCCGGCGCCTCCTTGACTTTCACTTTTATAAAACAACCCCACTCTGCTGCAGCCTTTTACGAGCCGGGGCTGGCCCTCTGCTTCCCCGGCGAGCGGGTGCGCAAACCCTAAACCCTAAACCCTAAACCCTAAACCCTAAGCCCTAAGCCCTAAGCCCTAAGCCCTGAGCCCTGGCCCTGCGACCCGCTCGCCGCGCCGGCGTGCGCGCACCCCGCAAAGCACCCGCACCCGCAGCAGCAGCAGCAGCAGCAGCAGCAGCAGCAGCAGCAGCAGCAGCAGCAGCAGCAGCAGCGAGTTGCTGCGCAGGTCTGGCGCCACTTCGAGAACTTCGGGGGCCTTTTGCTGCAGTCCCACTGCCGCTTATTTGCTGCGCTGCGGGCCCTCGCGCCCCACACAGTGTGGGGCGCGAAGGCGCAGCAGCAAAGACAAGCCAGCCTGCAGCAGCAGCAGCAGGCAGCAGCGCGAGACGCAGCAGCAGCAGCAGCAGCAGCAGCGGCAGAAGCTGCGGCCGCCGGTCAGAAGCCACCCTCCCGCGCCCCTCCTCCCCCGCTGCTGCTGCTGCTGCTGCTGCTGCTGCTGCTGCTGCTGCTGCGCCTGCTCGGAGCGCGGACGCGCCGCAGCAGCAGCAGCAGCAGCAGCAGCAACCCTGTGTGCTGCGCGTGCCTGCAGCAGCAGCAGCACGTGCTGCTCAGCAGCAGCCCCTTGCGGCCCTCACCTGCGACAGCAGCAGGGACCACCTGGGGGCCCCCGAGGCCCCCGCGCTCTTTTATTGCTGCCACCCCGACATCCTCGAACAGCTGCCTCCGCAGGTCTGCTGCTGCTGCTGCTGCTGCGCTGCTGCTGCTGCGCTGCTGCTGCTGCTGCTGCGTTGCTGCTGCTGCTGCTGCGCTGCTGCTGCTGCGCTGCTGCTGCTGCTGCTGCGCTGCTGCTGCTGCGTTGCTGCTGCTGCTGCTGCCCTGCTTCTGAGCGCCGCTGCGTCGCGCGCCGAGCGAGGGCCCAGGGACCGCCGCTGCTCGCACCTGCGCTGCTGCTGCTGCTGCTGCTGCTGCTGCTGCTGCTGCTGCAGCTGCGTCGCCGCTGCGTGACGGAGCGCCGCGCGCTGCATGCAGTGACTGCAGCAAAGCGCACCTCAGTCGGGGCCCCCGGGGGGGCCCCCAGCTGAGCTGCGTGGGGCTGGTGGGGGGCGAAGGGATTTCTTTGTCTGTGGGGGCCATTCGCTTTTGCCTGCCGCTCACTGCCCACAGGTTCTCCGCGGGCAGGCGAGAGGTCAGTGCTGCTGCTGCTGCTGCTGCTGCTGCTGCTGCTGCTGCTGCTGCTGCTGGGCTGGTGCTGCTTTGAGGGAGGCGGCTGCGCGGGCTGCTGCTGGCTGGCGGCCGTTGCTGCTGCTGCGCGCGCTCGCTGAGCGCGTGGGCGCCGCTGCCGCGGACGACGCCCCCGCTGCTGCTGCTGCTGCTGCTGCTGCTGCTGCTGCTGCTGCAGCACGTGCAGCTGCTGCAGCAAACCCCCGTGGAGTGCCTGGTCTCTTCGCTCTACTTCAAATTCGCCGCCAAGTACGGGGGGCCCCCCCCCTTCGACGCAGAGCTGTGCCCGCTGCTGAGGCCCCCCTGGCTGGGGGCCCTCAAGGCCCTCAAGTCCAAGCCGGGGGGCCCCCGGGGGGCCCCCCTCAGCAGCAGCAGGGGGGGGGCCCCCAGCAGCAGCAAGGAAGAAGCAGGGGCCCCCAAGCGCAAGACCTTCGTTTGCATTGTAGACGGAGAGGAAGACCCCGACGCCCCAGTCAACAGGTGCCGCCAGCCAGCTGCGGGGAACTAAATTAGGGTTTAGGGTTTAGGGTTTAGGGTTTAGGGTGCAGGGTTTAGGGTTTAGGGTTTGGCGCTGGGACCTGGTACTCGCACTTGCGTGTTCTCAAGCAGCTGGAGGGCTTTAGTAAAACGCGCAACGCGTGGCTATCTGGCCGCAAGGTTTAGCGTTTAGGGTTTAGGGTTTAGGGTTTAGGGTTTAGGGTTTAGGGTTTGGCGCGTTTGCGTCTGCAGCTACCGGGGCGGCGTGACGAGCGCCTTGTCTTCTATAATTCGAATGGCCCTCGAGGAAATGAGCGGCTCGGGAAAAGCAGCAGCTTGCCTCTCCGTCTCCAGCACAATTGCTGCTGCTGCTGCTGCTGCTGCAGCAGCAGCAGCAGCAGAAGCAAGCGCAGCGGCAGCAGCACAAGCACCAGCAGCAGGAGCAGCAGAAACCGCACTGGCAGCAGCAGAAACACCAGCGGGAGCAGCAGCAGCAGCAGCAGCACCTGCAGCAGCAGCAGCAGCAGCAGCAGCAGCAGCAGCAGCAGCAGGTGGGAGGTGCGTGGAAGTGTTTGGGGTGCTGCTGGTGGACCCTTGCTGCTGCGCTGCTGCTGCTGCTCAGATGAGGGCTTTGCTGCTGCTGCATGCAAAGGCCCCCAAGGGCTTTTTGGCTCTCCACTTCGTGACTGCCAGCTGGGCCTACGCGTCTGTCCTTGAGGTGCCCCAAACCCTAAACCCTAAACCCTAAACCCTAAACCCTAAACCCTACCTGGGCCTTGGGGGCCCTTCGCCTCTCGCTGGCCGCCGCAGTGTCTCTGTCTCTCCGCTGTCTCTTCAACTTCTTTCTCTCTTTTTATATTTTCTTCTTTTTTATTTTCCATCTTTTTGTTTTATTTTTCTTTTTATCTTTTATTTTTCGTCTCTATCTTTTTGTCCTTTATTTCCTTTCTTTTCTTATTTTTGCTTTTTGTCTCTACCTCGGTTTGGCGTCTCTTTCCACTTAGCCCCGGAGCAGCTAGCTAGCTAGCTCGCTAGCTCGCTAGCTAGCTAGCTAGCAGCTAGCTGGCAGCTCGCTAGCTGGCAGCTCGCTAGCTAGCAGCTAGCTAGCTAGCAGCTAGCCAGCTAGCCAGCTAGCCAGCTAGCCAGCAGCTAGCCAGCCACTCAACAGCCCAGCTAGCCAGCTAGCTAGCTGTGAGGGTTTGCTGCACGTGCCTGCTGCCTGCTGCCCGGCGCTGCTCTCAGGGGCAGCTAAACTCTCCTGCTGCGCAGCAGCACCAGCTGCAGCTGGGGGCCCCCCAGCTGGGGGCCCCCCTGGAGGGGGCCCCCCAAGAGGAGGCCCCAGCAAGGGGGGAGGGCCCCCAGCTGGGGCCCCCAGGGGGTCCCGGGGGCCCCCAGCTGCTGCCAGGGTGGGGCCCCACAGGTGCAGCTGCAGAGGGCCCCCAGGCCCTTTCAGCAGCAGCAGAGGGGCCCCCGCTGCCCCATATAGCCCAAGTGCTCAAGGTGCGCCGGCCTGCTGCTGCTGCTGCTGCTGAGGATGCTGCTGCTGCTGCTGCTGCTGCTGAGGGCGCTGCTGGACCGAAATAGCCGCTGCAGCGAGAGCTGCTAAGCTAGAGTTTGAGAGGCAGAAGAGGCAGAAACCCCTAGAGACTGCAGCAGCAGCAGCAGCAGCAGCAGCAGCAGCAGCAGCAGCAGCAGCAGCCTGAGAGCAGCTAAGTAGCACCGACTGAGGAGACAGCCTCAAAGGCTTGGGGCGAGGAGAAGGCGCTGCTGCCGCTTTGCTGCCGCCTGCTGCTGCTTGCTGCTGCCGCCGTTTGCCGCTGCTGCTGCTGCTGCTGCTGCTGCCGCTTGCGCGGCTGAGTCGCTGCTGCTGCTGCTGCTGCTGCTGCTGCTGCTGCTCAGGAGCCGTGGGGCCTGCCGCTGTTTGGGTGGCTGCTGCTGATGCCGGAGAGCTGCTTGCTGTCTCTGTCTCTGCCGCGGGAAGAGCTGCAGCAGCAGTGGGGGGCCTCCATTTTGCTGCTGCCCTCTTTGGCCCCTTTGGCAGTCCTCAGGGCCCTTTTGTCTTTTCTTCTTTCCCACGGAATTGACCCCACAAGGGCCCCCCTGGACCTTCCTTGTCTCCCCGTGTTTGCTGCCGTCTTGGCCCCCGAGGGGCCCCCCGAGGGGCCCCCCGAGGGGCCCCTGGAGGGGCCCCCCGAGGGGCTGCCCCTGGGGGCCCTGGGGGGCCCCCCGGGGGGGGACCCCGGGGCCCGCCGCTCCTTCTCCCCCCTGGGGGGCCCCCGGGGGGCCCCCGCGACCCCCACAAGGAGCAGCAGCAGGGGGGCCCCCCTGCTGTCCTCCTCTCCACTTAAGTTGGGCAAATGCGGAAGCCCGCAGCCCGCAGCCCCTGCATGCGACGCAGGGGGCCCCCGGGGCTCACCGGGGGGCCCCCAGGGTACGGGGGGCCCCCAGGGTACAGGGCTGTGTCTCGGCCTGGGGGCCCCTGTGGGGACTCCCAGCAAACTGCGGGCCCGGGGCAGCAGCCCCCTGGGCAGCAGGGGGCCCCCCTCCAGCCCCCTGGGGCCCCCCGCAGGGGGGGCCCCCTCCACCCCTCGGAGGGGCCCCTCGGCCACCCCCAGGGGCTCCAGCCTCCCAAATGGGGGCCCCCCAACCCTCCCGCAGGGCCCCTCGACTCCCCTGAGGGGCCCCTCGACCCCGCTGAGGGGCCCCTCAGCGCTCCTGAGGGGCCCCTCGACCCCGCTGAGGGGCCCCTCGACCCCGCTGAGGGGCCCCCGGACCCCCCTGAGGGGCCCCTCGACCCCCCTGAGGGGCCCGCGGACCCCGTCGAGGGGCCCCCGGTCCGTTCGCTGCGGGCGTTTGTCCCCCCTGGGGGCCCCCCTGGGGGCCCCCCTGGGGGCCCCCCTGGGGGCCCCCCTGGGGGTTGCTGGGAGCCCGTTTCGGGGGTCTCGGGCGAACCTGTCTGTGCACCAGAGGGGGGGGCCCCCCCGGCCCTGCAGGGCCCACTTCTGCGCTGCCAGCAGCAGCTACAAAGTGGCTGTGGGGCCCCTCAAGATCTTCTTGCCGGGCCTCGAGGGGCTGCCCCTCGTCAGCAGCAAATGGGCCACTTGCAGCCTCGCAGCGCGCCGGCTGCTGCCTCTCCAGCACTTCGCCCTGCGCCCCAGCAGCCAGCAGCAGCAGCAGCAGCAGCAGCAGCAGCAGCAGCAGCAGCAGCAGCAGCGGGCGGGGCGCGCGGCCGCTGCGCAGCAGCCGCAAGCAGCTGCGGGGGGGGGCCCCTCCCTCCCGGCCTCCCCGTCTTTGAAGAGGCCCCTCGACGCGGGGGCCCCCCCTCCCCCGAAAAGGAGGCAGCGCGGCAGCAGCAGCCAGCAGGCAGCAGCAGCGGAAGCAGCAGCAGCGGAAGCAGCAGCAGCGGAAGCAGCAGCAGCAGCAGCGGAACCAGCAGCGGCAGCGGGAGAGGGGCCCCTCCCAGGTCCTGCCCGCACTCCAAAGGAGAGGCTCGTGGCAGCACCTGCTGCAGCTGCGACTGCTGCTGCTGCCCGCGCAACAGCCACTGCTGCTGCTGCTGCTGCTGCTGCTGCTGCTGCTGCTTCGGATGTGAGCGAAGCAGCAGGAAGCGCGGCGCCAGCTGCTGCGAGCAGCAGATCCTCCTCAAGGGCCCCTCGGCGAGGCCGAGCGGTGGGCCTTGCTGCTGCAGAGGCGGGGCCCCTGCCTGCTGCAGAAACCCTAAACCCTCAAACCCTAAACCCTCAGGCCCTAAACCCTCGAGCTGCACCCCCCCAAGCCCCAAATCTCCGAGTTGCAAAGACAAGAGCAAGGGCAAAGGCCGCGCCCAAAGCTGCACAGCAGCCGCAGCAAGAGCAGCAAGAGCAGCAAGAGCAGCAGCAGCAGCAGCAGCAAGAGCAGCAACAGGAGGAACTGACAGCAGCAGCAGAACCCGCCAAGAGAGCAGCACGGAAAGCAGCAGCAACAAGAAGAGGTTCAAGACGAGGCACAGGCAAATGAACTCAGCGCCTTTTGCTGCCAAGGCCCCTCTAGCCAGCTAGCTAGCTAGCCAGCCACTGGTTCTGCATGCGCTGTTTGGCTAGCTGCTGCAGCGGCGGCTTGCTACCAAAGCTGTGGCTAGCTAGCTAGCTGCCTAGAAGCGGTGGCCGCAAGAACCTGCTGCGCGTGTTGGCTAGCTGCTGCAGCAGTGGCTTGCTACCAAAGCAGTGGCTAGCTCTCTAGCTAGCCCTCTAGCTAGCTGTTTAGCTAGCTGTCTTGCCAGCTAGCCAGCTCTCCGGCTGGCTAGTTCGCCGTCTAGCTAGCTAGCTAGCTAGCTAGCTAGCTAGCTGGATGTTTAGAAGCGCTGGCGGCAAGGACCTGCTGGCTGGCGCCGTGGCTCTCTGCGGTTCGCTGAGGGTCTGGCAGGAAGTCCGCAGCGACGAGAACTTGAAAGTTGCACTTTGCCGATTTGTGAATTCAATTGGAAACAAATAAATGAAAAGAGAAACTAATATAAATAAATATAAATAAATATAAATAAATATGAATAAATATAAATAAATATAAATAAATATAAATAAATATGAATAAAGAGCTGGCAGCAACGCGCAGCAAACAAACCCCCCCGTCCTGGGGTCGGGCCGGCAGGCCGGCAGGCAGCCGCAGGAGGCTCATATTGAAAAGTGCAAAAGGCTCCTCGCTGCTGCTGCTGCTGCTGCTGCTGCTACTACTGCTGCTGCTGCTGCTGCGTGTGGCGGTGTCAGTTTGCCTCTTGCAAGGAAGCAAAAGCAGCAGCAAACTGCAGCAGCAAACTGCAGCAGCAAACTGCAGCAGCAAACTGCAGCAGCAAAGTGCAGCAGCAAACTGCAGCAGCAAACAAATCAGCGCGGCGGAGCCTCGGCCGCGCTGCAGCGCGAAAGAGGAAAAGGAAAGCCAAGGAAAAGTTCTGGGAAGCGCCTCTTTTAGAAGAATCGCCGGCCAAGTGGTGGAAAATAAATTATTTTAAATATTATTTTATATTAAATATTTTTTTATTTACTTTTGTGAGAGTGTGAGGCCCTTTCTGCCCCGCGAGGAAAAAAGATGAACTCAAGAAGACGCGAGAAGAAACCCTCAGTGCCGCGTGCGGCCACTGCCGCCGCAGCACACCGAAGCAGCAGCAGCACCTGCAGCAGCACCTGCAGCAGCAGCTGCAGCAGCAGCTGCAGCAGGGTAAGCTGGAGCAGCAGCAGTTGTTGGTTGCGCAGCTTCTTCTCGCCGGCTTCTGGCCATCAAGCAGAGCTCCAGAAACCTGCAGAGACGCATGCGCAGCAGCAAACTCACGAGCTTTCCTGCAGCTGAATGTGTGCAGAGAACTCAGAAGAAATAGTCCAAAGCCACCGAGGGACTCCTGCTGCGGCGCTGCCGGCTGCTGCAGCAGCAGCTGCAACAAGCAGCTGCAGAAGCAGCTGCAGAAGCAGCAGCAGCAGCACGCAGCTTTGGGCAAAGCCTGCCGCGCAAAAGAAGAGTTCCTGCACTTCGCTGGACAACTCTGTCGGTAATTGAGTAAAGGAAACAAAGAGAGAAAAAACGAAAGGCAAGACCAAACAAACCACGCGGCGAACGCCTCACCGGTCACTCCCAGGAAGACTGCGCCAGCTGAAGCAGTTCTCTTGCGAAGCTGCACAAAGGGCAAATTCAGTTCGACAGAAATGCAAAAGAAGAGAAAATTAGCAAAGAAAAGGCCGGAAAGAGAGAAACTGCCTCCTAGCTGCGCTTTGCAAGTACATTTCGCCGCCAGACTTCCTGAATTTCCCTTTCTGCTTTCCACAGCGCTGAGGCCCACCAGCTTTTGCTGCAGTTTTGTTGACTTGCGGCCTGAAAGAACACTCTTTCATTTCCTCCATTTCCCTGCAGAGCCCGCGCCGCCAGCCAAAGACAGCAGCAAAGACTTGCGTCGCACCAGACACGCAAAAGCGGCTTCGGAGTGCTTTCAAGAACTTTCTGCCCACCCGACCCGCACAGGAAACTGTGGGCTAAAGAAAGCTCCGAGTTGAAAGGCACATAGTTGGCGCCTTCTCTGTCGAAGTGTTTGTTTGTGTTTGGTCCGGCATTTAGCCTTTCTTATTCTGTTTCCTTTCTCGCGCTGTTTACATTTGCTTCAGTCTTTCCTGCCGCAGCGCGTCCTTGCTGCTCCTTTTCTTCTCCAACTCCGCGAGGTACCCCTTTTCGGGAAGCACACACAAAAGAAGTTGTTCTTTCGAGCGCCTCATCTTGGCTTTTTGCTGCTGCAGACTTGCACTGGATCGCAAGCAGCTGCAGAGGCGCTCACTGATAGGTTGGAGAGGAAAGACCGGCCTGGCTTGCACTTGGGCGTTTTTCGAGTGTTTCCAAACTGAAGAAGCACTCAAAGACGCAAACACCTTTGCAAACATAAGTGGCAGCAGAAAGTTTGCACTGAGGAGCCCGCAAGCCTGTCTTGCGTTTCCCGCTGCGTTCAACTCATTTTGCCCCCCATCTGCTGCTGCTGCTGCTCAAAAACACTTTTCGCACCAATTTAGTTTCGAAATTCGGAGAAGAGCGAGTGGACTGCTGGCTGGAGCTCTCTTCGCTCTTGCTTTCTTTTTCGCTCCGCCTGCAACGCGGGCCGAGCAAGTTCGGAAGTGCTGATGAACTTGAACATTACTTTCAGTCACAAGTGACATCCGAGTGTTTTGTGTGCAGATGGAACTTCACTTCTGCAGTGCTTATCCATTTTTACTCCTCCTTGCTCGTTTCAGCAGCGCGTCGGAGCTCGATGGCTTTAACGATGCGTCTTGATTTCTGAGACGCACAAACACCTCGAATGGCCGCGCTTTTGCCTTTGGCTGCCCTGCAGCGGCTAAAAGGACAAACATCTTTAGGAAAGGAAAGACATACTTCGCAGAGCGTGGGTCTAAAGGGCCAGTCGTGAGTCGCCGCGGCCTGGCGGGATTTGGGCGCCGTCGGCCCTTTTGCCTGAAAAGCCCAAGAAAGCCTCAACTCGCAATTGGCGCGAAAGCTGAAGAAAATAAATCTGCAGGCGGTCTCCCAACGACGGCCAGGACGGCGTGCCCAGAGCCAGCCACTTGGTGCCCAGCTTCAATAGAAGGCGGGGTTTTGAAGCTGACAACAATGTCTTTGGCAGTGCCATTTTACTGCACTTCCTGCGCTATCTTGGCTTCACTTGTGCATCCAAGACTCACGAATTACTTACTGGGGGCCTAGTGATTGCGAGCAGTTCAGATCTTCTGCATAACTGGAGTTCGTAGGACTCATCGAGATCCTAGTGCAAGAATCCCCACAGCAAAGCTAGCGAGTGCAAGCCATGAGACTGGCGAGTGGTTTCCCTTTCTCTTTTGAAATCTGGCGAAGGGCTGTTTCAAAAGGCTCACTCTTTTCTCTTGCAACAGCTGGCGTCTGAGAGTCCGGGATAATAGGTAAAAATTGAGCCTGAGTAGAAACAACCAAACGGAAGTTCCCGTGGCTTGAGAGTACAGAGGCAATGCCTTTCGCACACATCAAAAGAACCCCAGGAAAAGAAACAAGCAGGCATATAGACTTTGGAGTGAACTCTGAAGGACAGTGGAATGAACTCTGAAAGACAGACACGCCTCCCTTTCAGGGACTGGCTAATTTGAAAAGCGTCAAGTTTTGGATAATGCAGTCAAGAAAGCGTTGCTTGCTTGTAGGCCATGCGCGCAGTCACAATGCAAAAAACGGGTTTTACCGTTCCTGGAATGAAGGATAAGACCGCGTGGAACTACGAAGACTGCATGCGGACTTCTTCATTTCCTCCACGGGTTCTGCTGCGCGCCAGTTAAAGGAACGCATGTTATTTCTACTGTGAACAAGAGCGAGGCAAAAAGTATGTGTATTGTTCCTTATCAGCCCTCAGTGAAGGCCACCCGCCTGCGACTGTAAAGCAAGAATGCAGAACGACGATGGCGCGCCAGACTGCTGCAGGGGGCTGCAGCATTTTGTTGCCAGCTCACTTGTGCTGGAGTCAGCCGTTGTCGGTTCTTGCACAAGGCGTTTCCATTCTGTCAATTTTTTCTCTTTCCGCGCCTTTGCAAGATGTCTCGACCGAGCTAGAATTGTGGGTTGGAATGTGCAGAACTTGAATTCCTCCTCCAGTTTCTGAAGGAATTGTTGAATCTCTTTGTACAAGAACGCTTGACCTAAAGCGCGGCAAAAGCTTCTAGTGCAGTGAAATAGGCCAGTCTAAATAATGTGCTTTACCTCCTGCTTCTCTTGAAGAGCTTTCTGAATCCTAGATTGCCGCCGAGCAAATTCCTGGTACCGTGCGCGAAAAGTTACAGAAATTAATCACAACACATATTGGTGTTGCCGTCTTTCAACATGCGTCCATCGTTGATTCAATGCTCTGGTGGGTTTCTGGTCAACTTAGTCATTCAGGCCAAAAAGAAGCTTACGCGGTCATAGTATGCGCGCATATCAATATTAGCTTTCCGATTCACCTGCGGAGATATAGCCCAGTTGATTCAAGTCATTGCAGGACAGAGAAGACTGTCACAGGCCTCACTAAATGCATATGACTGTTTGGTGGCGCACCAGAGGAAGTCTTTCTTACTTCGCCTATTCTGGGAATGCCCCTCTCTACTTCTTCTAGTATGCACTTCCTTCTTTCCCGGTGCCACATCCTCTGTATTGCGGATTCGTACAGCCTCTGACAAGGGATAACGCCCTCGCACCTGCAGCGGGAACACCTCGCTGCAGCTGGGTGCGTACAGGGACAGCTCTTATAATGGCATGACAACTATAAGAAAAAGGTACAGGCGTCGTACCCCATCTGTTGTTCGGTTTTAAGACTCTGGCTTTGCTTTCCTCTCCCCATCGCGTTTGCCTGCACGGTGTGCATGATAGAGAATCTTGGAAATAGCTGCACGCATCGCGGCTTTGTTTTTCCTCTGTAGTTAATGGCCTTTCTGCCATCGACTACAAGAGTGAAAAAAAGGCAAAATGGCTTGAATTCAGGAAGGTGGATTGATCATGGGCTGGCAGTCCGTTGCTAAGGAGATAGTCGGCTTGCATTCAAAATTATTCACGTGACAAGGAAGCAGCTAGGGTTTCGAAGCATTTCGCCATGAATACTAGCTAGCTTTATTTGTTTGCACAAGTACACTTGCAAAGGCTTCGAAGAAACGATTGACATAAAACAACCTTCTGGAATTTTCGCTGGTAATATACTGAATTGATAAAAAAGGACACTTCATCCTTCTTTTCATGGCTTGAAATAAAGTACAGCACGCCCAAACAAAAGGGCGTGCACCTCCCATTCAGAACCTGGAGACCGATCCATCAGACCTTCATCTGAAATCTCATATTTCCTCACCGTTTGAGGGAGATTTTGGTCATATGGAACTTTTTCCACCTGTTTTTCTCCCTGGAACTCTCTACTCTGCTGAACATTTTCGATTGCGGTATTAACTCTCAGGCTTGACTCTCCCATATTGGTCATGAGCTGCTGCCAGCACATTCCACTGTGATCCTCTCTAAAATCAATAGAAAAGAACGCATCCATAGAGGCTACACTTTTAGACTTCTCTCTTCACTTCATGGTGAGCAGCATTTAGTGCTTTTCAAACGACAGCAACACTCCAGGATCACCCTCCAGCACTACAGGACGTGTGCAGATTCATAAGAATCCAAGCGCAAGCTTGGCGCATAATCACTTTTATTTAAAACAATGTTACAAAAGTGTATGTCGTCACAACTGAGTTGAAACGTCGCAGAGAGGCCTGACGACAAGAACCTAGCTGTATATGTATGTATATGACTGAGCCGCTGCTACGGTAACTCCTCCTACGCAGGCTCGCTTCGCCTCAAAGTGCAAAAATACAAATAAAATATACCAAATTAACAAAGACCAGGCTTAGTTTTGCACCAGCTTTTGGGGAGAGTGCTTTTGTTGGCTCTCCTTGCCCCAAGCACGAATGCAAGTCGGCCGCATTCGTTGAATATTTGGTTTCAGTCCAAAATTCAATAGCGTAGAAGAGAACGACCCTCAGGCCCAGTCCAATCTGAAAATTTTGTTCCAATTCTGTAGCGAATAAAAATATCAAAAACATCTTACATTCAACGGTCATGTACTTCGGTCTCGACTCGAACAAGCTGATACACACAGTAGCGATGAGTAACCCAGCTTGAAATCGGCCGAATCAAGCGCCAACATACTGTTTTCCTTTCTCCACTGTGGCATGAAGAACCGGAATAGCCCGATCTGAAGCCATCAAGGCTGCCTCGTGACCCTTCCGCCCTATGTCCATGGCTACTTCCTTTGTCTGCGCACAGGCTTATTAGATCACTGCTAGGAGCCCTCAAAAGCCTATATTTCTTACCTTTGAAGCGCATTCATGAACTGCGCATTCAATGTTGCGGACGTTGTATCCAGCAGCCTCCATCTAAGCAAGCAAGCATGCTTCCACTACCGTAAGGTAATGACGTAGTCTACGTACATTTATTTTCGCTACATTCGCGATGGCAGCAATTTGAGCCAGCATTGCGGCCAACGTGACACAGTAGAAAAGCGGAGCAGATTCAGCGCAGAGGCCGATGGTCATGCTGAAGAGCCCGCTGACAGACCAGAAAGCCAACAGTGCCGGTATCGCAACGATGCCGGCAGATACTGCTGCAACGAGCAGTCCCTGTATACGGCAGTTCTATGAGAACTGCCTGAATGAAAGAATATTGATGGAACCGTACTTCAGACATCAATTCCCTCGGCGACATCTCCCTTCTCGAAAGCCGGAATGCATTCTGTAAAGAGCATGGTGACTCTTTTATACACTTTCTGTTGCCGCAAATGCACAAACCTGAAGAACTTTGGGGCAGGACTTGAGAGCGAAATGAAGTGAAGCGGCTAGTGCTCCGCAGAGGACGCCATTGACAATATTCCACTCCGACTTCGCGAGAAATGATGGATAGATAAACGTGACATTATTATTCAGTAGCCTACCAGCTCTGGTCCGCAAACAGTGTTGGACAGTACCACACCTGAAAATAGACGAGATTAGTGCCGCGTGGCAAAGGAAAGTGAAGGATATTCTGTTACCTGATACAAGGCATACTCCACTGAGCACAGTGCTCGTGGAAAGCGCGAAGTCCGCGCTTTTCTTAAAGGCTTCCTCTTGAGCGTACATTTTCAATATAGTTTTTTTGCCTTTTAGAAATTCCTTGATTCAGACCACTGTGAGTGCAAGATGCATCAGACTTGACAATAATTCACTTTCGCTATTGTCAAGAAGTGGCTCCAGGTGTACGGACATCCCACCTTCAAATGTGGTAAGAGCGCCGCCTTCGGACAGACCAGAAACCGTTAACTGACTCACATCAACAGTTTCTCATCCATTTTTATTTTGAGGCCCAGTACCCTCACGGATCTTCATTTTCACCAATTCGCGAAAATGTACGGCCAGGAGGAGACTTTTGCAAGGAGCTTTGACAAGGCCTCTTCTGCCTGCACCGTAGTTGCAGCAGTAAGCCTGGCCACAGGGCTCCTGTTCGCCAACAGCCTGTGCGACATGGATCTGGTAAGCAAGAATAATGCAGTGGCTGTATCAACATAATTGACATCCTTTTGCAGTCAGAGTGGCACATTGTGAATGCAGTTCTGTGCGGCTCTCTTGCGGCCGCTGCTCACTTCGCCACGAAAGTCAACCCGAGGGCTATGCAAGTAAGAACTAGTAAATGCAACATTGTGCTCGGAACTCCGTTAATGTGCACCTCTCGAACCAGGCTGGATTCAGAGTATACAAGGCCGAAACTTCAATGCGCGAGCTGATGAGCGAAGTAAGGAAAAACCATCCTCAACACCACATCACTTGGCTCATAAACTTTCCACCAGGGTCTCCTTTCCGCTGCGGCATCTGTGGCACTGGTCGCCTGCCCTGCACTTCTTCTCTTCTGGTAATATAAACACTGAGCTATACTTTCCCGTGTTCCTCTTCTACCCCGGGGCACAGGTCTGCTCGCGGATTTGCGAGTATGGGAGTGGGAATCTGCGCGGAGTCTTCACCCATGTTCTTTGCGATCTCCTTGTCCGTGATGTTGGCTGAAGCCGCAGCTCTTGTCTTCGTAGCTGGCCGCAACGTAAGAACACCATTGGCCGAATGTGTGCGAAGGCAATTGCATAACCGTCTCTGCAGCTCGAAGCAGCTGGATATTCTCTTGACAAGCTCAAGTATCATGCCGAAACGCTGCTCTACAGAGTAAGGCTTCTGACTAAAGTGCCTATTGAACAGCTCTGCAAAAAGTCTCGCCTCAGGTCAGGGATATCGCCTCCGACTGGAGCAGGAATGGCTATCATTACGTGATGCGCGCATCTGAGAATGTGATCCCCACACTGAGAGGAATGATACACTCTCTCCTCGAAATCCTGCACCGGTGAGTACAATAAAGCTCTGGCTTCGTTGAACAAGCCATCTTACATTTCCACCGCCTTCGCAGTCTGTGGGAGCAAAGACCAAGATGGATGAATGCTTCCTGTAAGTGGCTTCATGTTCATATCAACCTCCCACACGCACTCATATCCTACACTTCAGACTGGGCTGGCTCTGAGGGTTCATACCTCCTCCGCTAAATCAAACGTCCACCGTGGTGTGGATAAACTTTCTATGCAGACTATACTCTGAATACTAATCGTTTTCACGCTACTTGAGGGTATCCAAAAGACATTTTGCTCCAAAGCTTGCCAGTTTAGTCTGCACCAAAAAGCTGATGCCTAAGCGTTCCACTGTCAGCAAAGCTGTTTAGTACATTCGGTGCACCGCCATGAAGTAAAAACTACTTCAAACGAACACGGCAAATGCACGATATGTTGAGAGGTCGCGTCCGCCACTCTCTGATCCCCATAATGCGGCGCAAGGCACACTGTTGGTCAAGTCGCAGCGCACCCCCAACAGTGTATAGGCGCTGCATCGCAAATTCTGACCGCATGCTAAATCATCTGCGAGCTGCGCGATGATGACGACCTTCCGGTGAAGCCGACCTACGACGTTCGCGCCGACCTCTCCTGAATCGCCGAACAAACAGGAAAATTACCGACTATGGAAAACTCTAGAAACCACGCAACGACTGATTGATCGAAAGAGCTACCCCCTTCTCAAAACCAGCGGACTAGGGATCCGCGAAAAGAGACATTTAAGTGAGTGAAATGGCCTACGTACGATCGTGAGCGCTCCCGTCCCACGGCTTTTACTTCACGATTATCCACACGGGCGTTCACATCATACGCTGCTCCAGCTCCACCCGCCCCTCCGTAATAATCACAATATCCAACATACCTGTGCACAGGCGAGAAGTTCCGGCATGCTTAAAAGGATCACACGTGAACCCATTGCAGGCTGGCCCAAAAGGGAGGGATGCAAATTCTACCATCTCACCTTCCATCCCCCCTGGGATCTTCGTATTGTTGCCACTTGCTGTCATATCCTGTCCTATCATATCCGCGAGCATCGTAGACCGGGGCCCCGCGATCGTATGGTGGCGCCCCACGAGTGTCATATCCGCCTCGTCCTGCCCTCAGATCATATCCCCTCTCCATGCGCATATCATAGGGAAATTCCCCTGGATTTGCATTTCTGAAGTCCGTGGGCGGCCGTGCGTGGGCCGAATAGTCTATTCTGTCGTAATATCGACCGGATGGGTCGTAGCCTCCTCTGGCACCCCAATCACGGTCTTCCCAACGCCCACCAGAATGACTGCGCGTACCAGAACCGTAGTCCATTCCAAAAGGACTAGGCGGTACAAACTCTCGGGACGCACCCGGTGCTACCGCATAATAAGGCAGGAAACCCGGCTTCAACCGTCCCGATTTGTCGTACTTTATGCTGGCTCCTGCAAGAGGAACGAAGTGCACAGAATGGAACAGATGCTCGGCATAATAGTCGAAATACCTTATAGGCCAAAAACTATCCTCGCAAAGTAGCGATTGAACATACCAGGTGGTCCCTTATAAAAGCCAGGTGTAGGGTTGTGCGGCTTATTGCGCTTTGCCCGTTCTACCCTCACAGGCCGTGAACCTTCACCAAAAATCGTCTTGTTGTCAAAGTGCTCTATTGCCACTGCTGCGTGACTTGGATCGACGAATGACAGGAAGGCAAAGCCACGCGACTCCCTATATATTCACACACACAACATTCCTATACTTGCCAAATCAAACATTCAATGTTGTTCAGCCGCGCTTGAGATGTGCTCTCGAAGCAAACGGTCTCCACTCGGAGAAAAAAACATACCTGGAGACCGGATTGTTGACAATTCTACAATCCTTCACCTCCCCAACCTCCTCGAAGATACGCCGAAGTTCCAGCGCTCCGCAGCGCAAAGGCAGATTGCTGATGTAAAGCGTATCCGTATCTCCTGCCGGAATGACAAGCACGTACACAACAACGAATGATCCGACTAATCCAGAGCAAAAAGGATGAAAACGAGCCGGTGGAAGGATGCATGGACACATTCCCGTAGGGGATATGTCAGCTCACTCTTCCGAAAACACCGCCAAACAAAGCACGAAAGGCGTACTTTTGATAAAGGTGCATAGAAGTCGCTGCCGCCAGGCTTTCAATGCCTTGATGCGGAAGCTGAAATGCAGCGTGTCTGTACTTGCCGGCGCTGCTGCATGGGGCAAGGCTGCAGTTAACTGCGGCACTGGTATGCTGTGGGTGATACTGCTGTCTAAGTACAAATGATTAGCTGTTGCACCTGCTGACACTGCTGCGTACCTCCTCGCTGCCGTGGGCGGGCGCCGCTGCCGCTACGACGTTGGCTGCCGAACCTCCTTTCGCCGCCATTGCACTCATCGCTGGCATCGTTGCGCTCCCTGTTGCTCTGCTGAACGTTCTCCTCAACCCGACCACAACTCCCGCTGGGCCTCCTCACATGGGAGATATCTCGGTTCTCTTCTTCCTGGCCGCCGGAATTACCCTCTGAAGGGCCATGGCTACCCCCTCGCTTTCTGCTTCGATCTCTGTCGCCCACCTCCTCATCCCTGCGCTCCCTTTCCTCAGATTCCATCCGTCCCTCACTCATCTTTACCACGGAGCAGATCAAAATTACGCGCGAAAAGATTCCCGCGCCCTGCTATCCGCCCGTGGTAAAGTCTGTGAAGACAAGCTTCAAGAGCCAAACCAATTGCGGCCTGTGAGGTGTGGGGATCACGATTGCTGCCGCAACAACTCCCTATTCTGGGAAAAAGAGGTAGCGCTGCAACTAGAGCTGCAAGAAGCGCAATATGGTGCATGCAATACCAAAAAGACCGGGATGAGCTGCACACTCCCCACCGGGTGCTTAGGCAGCAGGTGGAGGGTGCCAGCAGAAGCCACGCGTGCTTCAGCGTCCCTGCAAGAAGTGGAGTGCTTCAGCCGTTTTTCTGGTGTTCTTCACTGTAAAGAACCCTCATATATGAAAGGCACTAATATAGGGCGAAATTAATAAGCCGTTGCGCAACTCATCGCTATATGGCGGATCCTGGGGCAAGGTATGCTGCATTTAGTGTATGGCTGGTGGGCACGGCTGCCGTTTGTTGCACCTTGCATCGCACTGTTCCTGCAGAGTCGGTGATGCCGCCGGTTTTTTAGCGTCGAGTCCCCTTCTTTTTGCAGGGAATTCTTAAATTCAAGTTTTTGGTTCCACTTGATACCAGAAACTTATGCGAGAGGCACTCAGTGCGGGGCCGAGTTGCGTCGCAATCCTCGCGATGCGCTCAAAGCGCCTCCCCAATAGGGAACGTGGTTTGCTCCCCCGTCAGCAGTTGCCTGTGCGCCCTCAATTTGTCTCTGCATTTTTCATGGGACATTCTTGCCTAGGAAGCTCTTTTTAGAGGGCGCTGGAGGGCAGGCGACGCGTTTTCCCGGTGTTCCCCGCGACGCGCAGGGCTGGGCTGCGGATGAAACAGCTTTGGCGTGAGGGCAGAGACCCGAAAAACACATCCGAAGTGATGTGCCATTGAATGCGGGGGTGCCTGAGAACAGGCTGTGGAAGGAATGCAGGTATACCCGGAGCCTGCCCCGCCCTCCCCTGCGGAGAACCTGCGCTGGCTGGAGGATCAGCTAGACGTGACGTACTCGCCAGTGTGTTGCTCCTATAATGCCGGAGCAACGACGTTGCTCCTTCGGCTGCCGAGCGCGGCCTGGGGCGTCGGGAGTGCAGCCAGCGCCAGTGCAGCCGGCGGCGAGAAGAACAGTGGGGGTGGAGGACGCGATCCTTCTCCAGACGGCGCGGGGTGGCGTCGCGAGGGTGCCAGTGAGCAGAGCCTGGTGGACATATTCGGCCGCATTCACAGTCTGGATGCTCTGAAGCTGCAGCGCCAACCCGGTTCCTGGGGCGCGGCGGCGGGCGGGCTGGCGGACGTGGTGCTGCCCAAAGGCCAGGACAGCTGCGGCCTTCCGCAGGGGAGCGACGCGGGGCTGTTGTCGCAGAGCGAGGAGACGGCAGTCTCGTGCGGCGGCGGGTCCAGCAACGCGGAGCGTTCGGAGTCTTCGCTTTCCCCCGCGGAGTTCAAGCCGTGCGAGGAAGCCTGCAGCTTGCGCAGCTTCCTGAACTCGTGTTTCCTCTTGCCGGCGAGCAGGAAGCTGTCGGGGGGCTGGCGAAGGAAGACGAGTGGCCCCGCGGAGCCGCCGCTGGCGGGGGGCCCCGCGGCCGCGGCGCCGCGGGGGCTGCCGTTCCTGCAGTGGCGCAGCAGACTGCCGAAGCTGGCGGCTGCGGGCTGCGGCGGCGAGGGCTCTTCGCCGCAAAACAAGGCCGGCGGAGGCGGCCCCAGCTGCTTCGCCCGCGCCTGGGGCGGCGCGGCCAGCCGCCAGCGCGAGCCGCGGGGGGGGGGGGGGGGGGGGGGGCCCGGGGG